TATTAATAGACAAAATAATAGAACAATTAGATGCATCACAATAATAAAATTGATTCAGTTTATGTGAGGTACTGAAATCTAAGGAAAGATGACATAATCATGCTTCTGGCATTTTCATTGCAACTAGTGGAATAATATCATTGCTGGTTTTCTTTTTTTCTTTTCTCTTTGAAGATGAACCTGTGGTGGCTTGTAATGGAAACATTAAGGGTATTTTATGATGAAATAAGCACGTATAAATTTCTGAAAAACATTGCAAAAGGAAACAGGCACTTTTTTTTGTCAAAATTATAATATCTCGTGCAGAATATTCATATGCTGCCCATGTAGATGTGTGCGTGAAGTTTTTCCTAAATCCATTATCATCCAAACGTAATTGGTTGATATAACGTCCATATTTAATGATTTGTTGTGTTTCTGTATGTTTCTGTGTATTTCTGCGTAGAAAACTGTGAAATATTTCTATAGTTAAATCAGAGAATTTTGGAAGTTCGGCCTTAATAGTCTCTAGGATAGAGTGATTATTCGATTTCCAGAAGAAAATATCAGAAAGAAACATCAATAACGCCTTCATATAGTTTCTGTAGCGGAATTTAAGAAATATTGTCCATACATGAAAACAAGATTCTAAGTAAGCATTCAAATCACCAGATCAGAAAAATACAGCATAAACATCCAGAACGAGAGAAATCGTATTATCAAGCAGATCCTTAAATGCAAGATATTCAACATCTTTACACAGGGATCCAAATTTCGCTTCAACATTCATCGAAATTTCCTGTCAAGCACTGCGAGAAATCTCTAAAAGAAGATTGATACGCTATGGCTTGGGCTTTTGTGCGAGAGATTTTCATTCTCCAAAAATATATTTGTACATAGTTGAAAAAAAAGATTGATATTGAAGGAATATTAATTCACGACTATTCAGAGAAATATGCAGAGGACCTATGATAGGAAAAAAAGACAAAATGTTCTCAGTGATATTTGATTGATCATAATAAGATATATAACAAGAGATAGCTGTTCTAAGATAAATTTGTCCAGGCCAATCAGCGATGATGGGAATAATATATCCTTTTTGAATATATTGCTGCATAGATGGAACATTTACAATGATATTAATAGCTCTAACATAGTTATCCAGAGAATAAAGATTATTTTTCTGTAAGTCTACAAGAATAACATCCTCATAAAACGAGCATTCCGTATTTTTTTCAGCCTAATGTCATAATTGTGTACAGTTAACTCTTCAAATCTAGTATCATCATCAACTGTATGAAATCCCCAACATCGATTGTGCGAAAAATTATAAAACGTCATGAATCTATTTTCCAGATTCATTTTTATTAACTTGGCATCAACCAATGCAGGATTGTGTACATTCATCTTTGGAATTGCTTTTTGTGTAGTAATCAGATTTATCAAAATCATTGCCAGATGTGCTGCAATAGAAGTGGTGATTGTATTCGGCATCCGTTTTGTATGAATACTATGATAATCATTAATGTTCAATATCATTGCATTCTCCGCATGCTCAGCAAGAATAGAATCGACTGTTTTAGCATGTTCTTCAGATACATTAGTCTTATGTCATGTGATTGTACGAGACGTCATAGTTACACCCAAATCAGCAAGAGTATCTATAGAGGTATTAGAAGCACCGGTAGAATCACTAAATCTCTCTTTGCATCATTAACAAACTTGTTCTGAATCCCACAAAGAAAGTAACATATGAATAAGAATTGCTTTTTGATCTGTGCCTGTGAATCTTTATTTTTTGTGGATGGGTTAGATAAAAAATATAACTCATCAAAAAAAGATTTTAATCTCGCATCCTCCCCTTCCATAACTACACGAAATTCATCAAATGAGTATAATGTTGATTTTTTTCTCTGTTTTCACGAATATATAAGATGTTAGTTATTATTTCTATTGCTTGGGAAAAAGATAAAATGATATTAGTATTTTCAATTTCATTAGTCTTCTCAGTTTCATTAAGTTTGTGTCATTTTGTACTAGCTTGAACATGATGCTGAAATTCACGCGAATTATTTACCATAATTCTATTATAACAATTTAAACAAATTGTATTGTCTATTTGGATATAATCTGGTAAAGTATTATTGGCTTGATCTTTGACAATAACATTTTTAGTTACCTTTTTCCATCAGTTTGACTGTCTTTGGCATATTGTAATTACGCATGGACCAGTAAGAGGAGTTGACGGTGGCATGTTTAAAGTACTTCTGGATTTTGGATTATTTTGAGATTATTTTGCGTCGAGTATGTTAATACTTTTTTGTAACTAAATAGTAATGTGATGTTCTAGTCATATTCCCGTAAAAGTATTTTAAAATGTATAAATTAAGTACCTGAGTTGTACCCAAGTAATTGATTAAGATCAGCCAATCACATAAAAGTCCTCCTATGTGGTTAGGTCACAGATGGGATCTGATCTGGTTGGAGCACTAAATGGTTCAAGAAAAGATCCAGATTTTTCCAGAAAAAAAATTATAATACATGTTTTTACTGAAAGTATCTGGATAATTTCCTGGTTTTTTTAAAAAAAAATACAGTACATACAATTCAGTTACATCAATAAAATTTGGATCAACTTTAAATCTTTTTATATTTTACAAAAGACATGTATTTAAAAACTCTTTACATATTTATAAAAAATTAAGTAAACTAAAAGCTGGTGAGCTATTTTAGAGTAATAGCAGTTCAAAGTTTGTCACTTTTCACATATCACTATTGATTTGAAACAGATCATAAGCCACAAGCAATTAATCAAAAAAAATTGAGATTATTACATAATGGAATTTTTGGCTTGAATATCTAATATTTTTTCAGAAAGAAATCTTAGCACAAAATTATATATTTTTGAGTTGTCAAATAAATGAAAGCTGATATTTTATTCTGAGTATTTTTGTTTAAGATCAAAAGATAATTATTACAGTAAAACTTTGAGTTATTTCATTTTTTGTTGTTTTGCATTTTTATATTATATAATTGGCAACTTTATTGAATGATTATTATGTGTTTGAACTTTTTGAATTTGAGACTGTAATCATGTAATTTGATGCAACTAAATTGTATACTATATTTTTAGAAAAAATAATCTGTTCTTTTCCTGTAAATTTTATTCTATTTTCTAATCCATTTCTGTTGACTGGTACATTTTATTGTAGCATTAGTGTTTATATAAAATCGAAATAGAATTTCATTGCATAATTTTATTAAATAAGTACGTAGTTACGTTACATCAACAATTGTTAGAAACTAAATATACCCTTAAATTCAGTAATTCTCAAGTCATTTTTTTTCTCGGCAACTATCACGTAAATTCGCCCCAAATTAGGGACTCGCCTCTGGCAAAATCCTGTTTGTAGTGCAAAAAGAATATTTGAAACTATCTGTTGTGCTTGAATATTAGGGGTATCGACAATATAAAAAATAGCTTCCGACTGAGGTTGGGCATTTTGAGGAAATGGTCGACAACCTTGAAAGCTACGAATCACTGTCCAGAAAAAACTGAAATTAGAAATCTCTTCATAAGAAATTAAAAAGATAATAAATGCTACAATTCATTTTTAGACCTACCATTGATCACAGCAGTCTTTTGAATCTGTCTTTGTTGAAGCGCGGCTTCGTTCCACTCGATAATGAATAAAGGATCTCCAGCATAAAGCTCATCGTCTTCAGCCTCAGGAATAGCGTATTTAGTTCGCACAATACTGGCCCACTCATGAACAATTTTTTGGGTTCTTTTAGGGAAGTTTTCCAGGATGACTGACATTTTTTGAACGGTGTATTTTTTACTGTTTAACCATAAAAGAAAACCAAAGAAGGGACCGAAGATAATAATAAAAGGTGAGACAAACAACAAGAAGACAATAATGAAAGGTGAGGCAAGCAATAGGAAGATAATAATGAAAAGCGAGATAAGCAACAAGAAGGAAAGAGCTAAGCTGAGAAAAATTGGTTGCATTTTTATAGTTAAGGAGTGAAACAAGTTTTTCTTTAATTAGGTAAGACGATCTAAAAGAGGAAATAGATTATTTGATCAATTACTGAATTAACATTAACAACAAACTCTTCCCCTTTTTTGTTATCAAACGCCACCAATTATTAATCAAAGTCAGATCTATTTTATATGATAGTGTCATGAGTTAAAGACTTGTTATGTTTGTTGATACATGTGTTACTTTAGCTTTAAATTACCACTAACTGCCCAAGAGTCCTGACCCTGGGAAAAAACATCCAGAATAAAAAACAAATTAGTTGTTAGATGCTTCATCTTTAGCAGTTTGTTTCGGATGATGATTTTTATAGACTCGAGCGTAACACTACAATTGAACAGATAAGTTTTTCCGCGTCTGCAATTTCTATGTGCATGGGATCGCCCTTATCAATTGAATCTCAATCTAAAATCTATCACTATACTTTCTCTACCACGCTTCTACTGTTATCCCTTTATCCGGAAATTTGAGGATATGATTCAGAACTGAATTCTCAGAGGATGCTTTAGTACTTCATCAAGTGGGACAGACCATCAAAGAAAAAATCAAATATAGTTATATTTATCTATGAAGTAACTACAATTTAGACATTGAGTTAGAAGATCGAAGATTTCAGATGCTTGATTAATGAACTCCTTAATTTTTTGTATCCTTTTGGGAATTACGATTTCTGGTTCTCGTCGTACCATACCTCAAGAAGGAATATTCCATTATTCTCTGACGGGTGACGTTCATCCCGACAATACATAAGCCCAACAAATGAAATCCCGAATGCACAGCATACCGAAAGCACGAATTCCCGAATGAACAGCATACCGAAAGTACGAAATCCCGAACGAAATTCAGAAAGGACAGCATCCCGAATGAACAATATACCGAATGCACACATTTACTAATCCCCCTCCAGGTTTCTGATTGATTGAGGCTATTAAAGGTTAATTTTAGCGTTAGGGTTAGGTTTAGAGTTGAGGATAGGGTTATATGTAAAATTGCCTCCCGACATTTTTGATTAGTGCTTCAAGCCAAATTTAAGCATTCGTTTTCCGTATATTTCACATTATTCGCATTTTTAA